ACATCACAATAATCACCGAAACAAAAGGAAAGGACCAAGGATGAGAAAACATCGGAGAATATGATCACTTCTACAGCGGGGTACCAGAGGAGAAAAGAGCTCAACAGGGTGTTACCATATAAATACCTACGCAAAAAGCTAAAAAAAATACGTAACTTCTTGGGAGGTTATAAACAAGAGACTGATAAAAATGCACCTTACGATTAGAGGACACAAATGCACAATCTTGGTGTATATGCAGTAAATGATGATGCACCGGTAAACGTTTAAAAACGATTTTTTCAGTTTTTAGTTTGTCACGGCAATGCCTCTGTAATTGTCACACTCATCCCTTCTGCCTTTTTTGTGTATAGTGTATATTAATGCTGTCTTCCACTTCTCTTTGGTTGTCATTCCATTAATGCAGTTTTGGAACACTTTGGCTAAACTTGTATATAGTTTGGTAGTACCATATTTAGTATTACCAAACAGTACTCTGCAGGTACTAGATGTGAATTTATCATGTTATCCTTTTGTTTCCATGCTTCATTTTTCTCCCGACATATCATTTTTCGTGCTTGAGACTCCTTGTGTTCTTTGTATTTAAGAATTTTTGATATTGGTCTCTTTTCTTCTTTATTTCTTGTTCATTTCTTCGTCAAACCAATATGAAAGTTTTCTTTGATTTCGGATTTGGTATCCAATGGCTTCTGTTGCTACCTCCTGGCGAGGGGATGCTTAGAACATGCAAAATGCATTTGCTCTAACTGCCTAAAGGATGGTATTTCTGAAGACAGCAGCGAAGATTCCTTATTTCCGTTCTTCATGTATCTACTTTGCGCATCTCAAACATTTGTTTTTTTTAGTCTTTGTTTAATTCATTAGAAATAGTTGTTTTGTATTTGTTTAATTTGGGTTTTTCTTTTATAGTACTTAAAATGCGAAAAAGATATATCTGTCAAGTTTTATTTTCAAAGCATACAAGTTATAATATAGAGTTCATCATCATCCAGCCTCAAGAGTCCACTGCTGAACATAGGCCTTTTCCTCATGTTTCTAACCCCGTCTATCTTGCGCCGCTCTTATCCAGTTTTTATTGAGTCTTCTTAAATCCTCAGTCCATCTTGTAGGTGGTCGACCGACGCTTCTCTTGTCTTCCCTTGGCCTCCATTCCAATAACCTCTTTGTCCATCGCCCATCTGTCATTCTGGCTATGTGTCTTGCCCATCTCCATTTTAGTCTGGCTATCTTCTCGATGAAGTCAGTCACTCCGGTTCTTCTCCTGATGTCTTCGTTTGTTATTCTGTCTCGGAGAGTTATTTCTAACATGGACCGCTCCATTCTTCTCTGCGTGACTCTCAGTTTGGTAGCTGCTGCTTTTGTTAAGGTAAGTGTTTCTGCTCCGTACGTCAAGACTGGGAGGACGCACTGATCAAATACCTTTCTCTTTAGACATGTGAGCAGCTCACTTTTAAATGTTTCTCTCAGTTTTCCAAATGCTGCCCACCCAAGGCCGACTCTTTTCTTCAGTTCATGAGTCTGGTTATCTCTGCCAATCATAATTTCATGTCCCAGGTATTTATATCTATCTACGAGTTCTATTTCTTTCCCACCAATACTGATGTTCTGGTTGGGCACCAAATTGGACACCCAATATAGAGTTAATAGAGTTTATATACATAGAGTTTATTAAAATACAAGTTATAATAAATTTGTGTGCAAATGTTTTTTTTGTTTATTTTAATTATATATTTAAAGAATCGACGAAGTTATTCGACAAAATATTTGTTTTTTGGACCATTTCTAGATTTGATTCTGTGCATTTTAGTTAAAATACCAAACAGTACTTAAAAAAGCTTCTCGGTCTTTTTATCTGCTTCCTCCTTCTCCATATTCGATTAAATGTCTTGGTAAATTAATTACTTTGGGTTGTAAACATCACATCAGTTTCTAATTCGATACTTCTGTATCTCTTAAGACAATGTTTGATTGATTTATTGCTCTCTAATTAAGGAAGAATTTGCATAATAAATATGCAAGAATGCTGCTACTGGTTTTAGTTAATTAATACAATATATCACCCGTTCTTCTGTTTTTCAGAGCTGTTGCTTAATATAAAGGCGTGTAAGAAAATGACGGTTGAATTTTGAATTTTTTAAAGAATATTATTTCTATTCCGAGGTGTTATAAATGGACATTGCATGGAATAAATTCTCTCCGCTGGGATAAATTTATTGCATACAATATTTAAATATTTTCAAAATAAATCGAATATATTTATAGATCATTTAAGTTAGTAAGTAATAAATCTTTTTTCGTCACAAGCGTATAAACGGGTTTGGGAGTTGAAATTTTTAGTATTGGATATTATAAACAAAAAGTATTTTGGTAGCCATGGGCTTGACATCTCACCTAAGAAGTCAGGTGTAGTATTTTTTTTTTTCGAGACACGTTAAAATTCTCCCATCTGGAAATTCCTGTATATTACAGTTTTACATACCTAGGTGTTACTTTGGATTTAAAATTAACCTGGAACAAGCATATTAATAATTGCTTTATCAAATTTGAAAAAAGCCTTTAAAGCCTTTAAAGCCAATAATCGATATGATTGGGAGCAGACCCGAAAATAAACTTATTATTTTACAGAGCATATACCAGATCAATTTTGGACAATGGAAGCTTTTTTTATGGATCAGCAACAAACTCTCGTTTGATTAAATTAGATCGAATACAATACAAAGCTTTAAGGTTAGTCCTAGGGGCTCTCAAATTTACTCCCACACCAGCCCTTTTGGCAGAACGTAACGATCCCCCTTTACATTTAAGACGTCTATTTTTGACAGAAAAATTTATTCTTAAATGCCGGTTCTTGCACTATGTCGAAAAAATTATGGAGCAGACAGCTATTTTGTTTTTGACGGCTATCCCGAAATTGAAAAATCAGTAACTGTAACACCAGCACTAGCAGCTCATTCAACTAAAAAAGGAGAACGTAGTCGTAGAAAAACCTCAGAAAATATTTCAAAGTTTTATTATCAAAACCATACTAAAATACCATTTTTGCAGGAAAAATTGTTATCAAACGAGAAAAACAAAGACAAAATAATCAAAACGTTAATGGAAATATTACACAAATATAGTCACAAGGATTTTTCTGTAAATACCAGATAGACCATGTGCTTATTGACAGAAGAACAGAAAGTGACTCTGACCACTTCCTGGTCAGAACAAAAATGAGAGCAAGACTAAACATGAGACATCCAAAGCAACGCCAACAAGGTAAGAGATGGGACATTACAAAGCTCGATCTACCTGATGATGAACGCCAATATCAGTCACTGGTACAAAACAAATTGCAGACACTGGAAGAAGAAGAAACATCAACACCAGAATTTGCCGTAGACCATAAATGGCAAAACATAGTGAACGCCATAGAAAGCGCCGCAGCGGAAACTATTGGAAAAGAAAGGAATAACAAGAAGAAAAACCAATGGTTTGACCAGGAGTGCGAACAAAGCTTGCAGCAGAAAGCAGTCAAGAGGCTGGAGTTACTAACACGACCTACAACAGAGAACAGAGAAGACTACAAAAGAGTAAGGGCTCAGACGAGAAGACTTTTGAGAAGAAAAACGAAACAGTACCTAGAAACGCGAATACAGCAACTCGAGGAGGAACATAGAACCGGGCAGTCTAGACAGTTTTATAGGGACCTAAAAACAATGAAGGGCAACACGACCAACAGCCCAAGATTTATAAAAGATAATACAGTCTTTGAACCGTCAATGGAGAAAGTATTTTAAATAACTTTTAAATATAGAAACTCACACAACAACGGGGCAACACAGACAATACCAGTTAGCCAAACCTGAAATAGTAGAGCCCACACTAGCTAAAGTAAAGCCCGCAATTTTGTCCCTAAAAAATTATAAAGCCCCAGGACCAGACGGCATACAGGCGGAACTAATAAAAAAAAGGAAGAGAAAAGCTACATCTTGAGATATACCATCTTATAAGGCTGCCCCTTTGTTAATGGAAATGATTCAGATATAAAGTTTCCTTCTTTAACTACACTTCTTGCATTTTTTGTATATTTTTGCGATAACATTCACATACTCTCTACTGAGACCTACTTTCGTCAATGTTTGAAACAGTTTTTTCAAAGGTACTGTGTCGTATGCCTTCTCTAAATCTACAAACAGTAGGTGGGTAGATAGATTCCTTGCCTTACTTTTTTCGATTACCTGCTGCTGAACAAATATACCATCAGAACACCATCTTCCTGCACGAAATCCATTTTGTTCTTCTATGTATTTGTATTCTGATTCTATGCTTTCTTTTATTATTCGACCGTACAACCTCCCCACTGAGCTGGTAATAGTTATTCGTCTATAATTAGAGCATTTGCGTTTATCCCCTTTCTTGAATATTGAGCTGATGTATCCAATATTCCAATCGTCAGGGATATTTTGTCCTTTTAAGCATTTGTTAAATAGTTAATGTCTCCAGGTCCTGCTGCTTTACCATTTTTCGATCTTTTGAGGGCATCGTTTAACTCTCCGGTTGTCATTTCAATTATTTGTGTGTATTCGGATATTTCTTCCATTTCGATCTCTTGGAATTTACATCTTTCCTCTGTCAGTAAGACCTTATAATGGTGTTTTCCTTCATTTTTTTAAAAGATAAAAATAAAAATTCAAAAACTTAGTTTTTTGAATTTTTAACAAAATTTTTGAGGTTATGTGAAAAAAGCGTAAATACCAAAGTTGTAGACCTTTTTATTACCTACAACTTTGCTATGTAACTCTTTTCAATACCCCTTGTAGTTTTAAAAATTATCGACCCTGGTCTATGAGTATATTTTCAATTTGGAGTTTGTCTCACCCCATGTGTCGAACAGCGTTACAAAATCTCACCTGTCGGATGCCGGGTTAAAAACAAATTTCTATATTTTAATTAAAAATCAATTACTACATGGCTTATATGTTCAAGTTTAATTAAAATATTTATTTATAATGTTGCAGGCAGTCATAAAGAAATCGAAAGTGACCTGCAAGTGTCATGGAGTGTCCGGCTCCTGTTCTCTCATTACTTGCTGGCAGCAACTGGCAACCTTCAGAGAAGTTGGTAAGTGCAATTGCCAATAACGCTTTAATGATCTCTTGGTATACCCATCGCCATAAAGATAAGATATATGTTTGTTTATTTTTTCGCAATATCAATTTTGAAAATTGCATGGGGATTATCAGCAACGAAATGGCACTAATAAACAGAGACTGTATGTTTCATTATTTTATGAGGTTAAAGACACACACGATTTTTTTGAAATTTATTGCTGTTGACATTAGCAGAGGTGGGCTTAATCAGAGAAGTAATAACAATTATTCATTATCTTAAACGTTCATTACTAGCGTAGGCAGAATATTAAATACTATGAGTGCCGAATCCCTAAACAAACATTGAAAACAATTTACAAAGCTAATGGAAACCTTTTTTCTTTTGGTAAATACAAAAAAATATCGAGATTTATAAGAAAATAGCTGCATATTGTTAGGTTCTGTAATCAGAAATAAAAAACAATGTAATTGTTACGTCTCTTCACAAATATGTTCTTTGCACCATTGACGAAGTCCTCCTTCTCATCCTCCCTTTTGGGATGTGGTGACTCCATCAGGCCTTTACAACTTTTTCACGATTTCCCTCCGTCCTTCCCTGCCCTAGGCTAGTTGTTCGGCTTCATGTGACCCTTAGTTAATCAATATTTTTGTTTGATCTATCCAACGGCTTGGAGATCTTCACCTAGGTCTCTTTCCTTCAACTCTACCCTCGACTACCAGTTTTTCCATCGTACCTGTTCTTCTAGCAATGTGTCCAAACTAGTGAAAAGGTCTCTGTTGTATTTGTTCAAGCAATCTGAGCTTTACGTTAAGTTGTTCTAATATCGATACGTTAGCGCGATGATCAATCCAGGATATTCTCAACATGCGGTGGTGTACCGACATTTCAAAAGCATCTAGTTTATTTAAGGTCCACGTTTCGGATGCATATGTGGCTATGGGAAAAATGAGTGCACTTACCAGCCGTAGTTTTGTGTGTATTGTCATGCTATAATTTTTCCAAATTGTTACCAGTTTCATCATAGCTGTTCTAGCAATAATCAACCTTCTACGTATCTCTTTGTTACACCCTCCATCATTTGTTATTAGGGACCCCAGGTACATGAAACTATTTACTACTTTTAAAGCCCCTAATTTAATGTGTTGAAGATTATTCCGAGCTCTGTTTCCTATCATGATCTTTGTCTTACTCCTATTTAGCTTTAGTCCATATGTTTTGATTTTCTCCTCTAAACATCTCATGACGTCTTCCATTTCTTCTTGATTTGCCGCCATTATTAAAGTGTCATCAGCATATCTCAAGTTACTGATATTTTGACCTCCTACTGATATTCCACCCTTCCATTCGTCTAGTACCTTTCGCATAATCTGTTCGTTGTAGATAATAAACAAAGTTGGCGATATAATGCATCCCTGCCTCTGTTCTGAAATGATCGGAATCAGTGTTATTTATGTGCACTGTGCACTTATTATTTTCATATATAGACTTCTAATTAGTTGAATGCAGTGGTTGGGTGTTCCCATTTCCGCTAGTATGGACCATAGCTGCTGCCATTTGACTTTATCGAAGGCCTTTGTGTAATCCACAAAGTACATAAGCATCTTCTTCTTTCAGTGCCTATTCGTTCCGAATATTGGCAATCATTCTGGCTATAATTATTTTATTAACTGCTGCTTTAAATAAATTCGTTGTTGTTGTGGGTGAACCATTTCCTCAGGTTCTTCAACCATGATATTATCCTTCTCCCAATTCCTCGCTTTCCGAATACTTTACCCTGTAGGATTATCTTCAGTAATCTGTATTTAGTGCTGTTTCTCATTATATGTCCGAGATATTCCAACTTTCTCCTTTTAATGGTATACATCACCTCTCTTTCTTTGCCCACTCTTCGTAATACGGTCTCGTTGGTTATCTTGTCTGTCCATGATATCCTTAGAATTCGCCTGTATAGCCACATCTCGAAGGCTTCAAGTTTTTTCTCCATTGCTTCAGTTAGTGTCCAGGATTCAACTCCGTAATACAATATTGAAAAGATATAACATCGTAGGAGCCTTACTTTTATCTCCAGATTAAGATTGTGGCTTTTAAAGAGTTTGGCCATGTTATTGAATGCACTCCTAGCCTTCTCTATTCTACATTTTATTTCCTGTGAGTGATCCCATTGTTCATTTACTGTTGTTCCAAGATAGTTATACTGTTTTACTCGGTCCACTGGTGTATTATTGATAAGTAGTTGAGCGTCTCTAACTTTATTTTTGCTGATGATCATAAATTTAGTTTTTGTTATATTTACTTGAAGTCCAAATCTTTCACTTACTTCATTTACTTTGTTTATTAGTTGCTGTAAACTGTTCAAACTGTCTGCAAAAATAACGGTGTCGTCTGCATAACGGATGTTGTTTAGGCGTTCTCCATTTAGAAGTATTCCATGTTCGCATTTTTCCAAGGCTTCACTAAATATTTCCTCTGAATATAGATTAAATAATATAGGTGAAAGTATACAACCTTGTCTAAAGCCTCGTAGAATCTGGATCATTTCCGTTGGTTCACCTCCAAAATTCGTTCTTATTGTGGCTGATTGGTTCCAGTATAAATTTTGTATTATACGCCGATCTTTATCATCCATTTGGGCTTTTGTTAGAATATCCATCATTTTTTGGTGTTGAACTGTATCAAATGCTTTTTGGTAGTCCACAAAGCAGGTGTAAATATCGCAAGTCATATCTCTGCATCTTTGAAATAATACTTGTAGACTAAACAGTGCATCTCTTGTACCTACGCCTTTCATGAATCCAAACTGTGTGTCTTGTATTATCTCTTCGCATAGCTTGTATATTCTACGATGTATAATTTTAAGAAAAAGTTTTAATGTATGGCTCATTAGACTTATTAGCCTATATTCTCCGCACTTTTTGCTCCCTGTTTCTTTGGTAAGGTAATAAATTCTAAAAGTAGCCAATCTTTTGGGATATTGCCTGTGTCATAGATATTATTGAAGATTTTACATAGTACTCTTAAAGATTCATCATCAAGAAGTTTAAGAAATTCAGATTGTACTCCGTCTGGTCCTGGAGCTCTACCTTCTTTTAGTGATATTATGGCTGCTCTTATTTCTGTTACTAGTATAGGTGGTCCTGTTTCCGTAGGTATTGGGGGCTGGTTCTCTCTCTCATCAAAAAATAAATTTCTTATGTAATTTTTCCAGGTATCATTGATACTCTCTTTGTCCACGATTATATCTCCATTGTCATTAACAAGTTTACTTACTCTTCTGTTTATACATTTACCTGTAATTTCTCTTTCCTTCTTATGCACGTTGAAGTCGTCGTATTTACTTTGGAGAATTTCGATTTCTTGGCATTTTTTCTCCAGTTCTTTCTGTTTGGCTTCTCTGATCTTTCTCTGTATCTCTCGCTGTAATGTTTTATACATGGAGTTATCGTTCTTGTTTTTCCTTCTTTCTTCCATTAGTTGCAGAATTTCTGTCGTCATCCATGTCTTATTCTTACCTTCTTCGTTCTTCATAAAATTGTCTTTAATGTCGTCTATTGTTTTCTTAAGGGATTCTATCTTATCTTCTACATTCTTCTACATAAGCATAGGAGTATTGAATTCACGAGTTTTTTCGATTAGCTGTCTGCCATTAAGAATGTGTTGTCTTGTGCTTGTGCTTTTACTGGGACAAATCGCGCTTGTTCTTTTGATATCTGAGGCAATAGGAAAGCTTTTATTCTTTCATGTATTACATGAAGTAGAACCTTGATTGCATGGGATAGTCGGGTTATGGTTCTGTAGTTACTTCAATCTGTAGTTCCTTTTTTGAATATAGGGATGAAAGTGGATGTGGTCCAGTCGTTGTGCCACTCTCCGGTTTCCCAAATCTTTTTGCAGATCATATGCATAGCATTTACTTCAACAGTTTTAGTCTCTTTTAAAACTTCTGCGGTGATCTGATCTACGCAAGGAGATTTTCTATTTTTTAACTTTTTGATTGCTTTTTCTATCTCTGACTTTAGACTGTTTGGTTCTCTCTCTGCAGTGAACTAGTCGTGATTTGCATTCTGAGGATCCTCTGCATATAGACTTTGACAATATTTTCTCCATACCTCTGCAATCCCTTTTTCATCATTTTTAATATGTTGGTTATAATTCATTATTGTTTTTGTGATTGGATTAAATTCACTGGATAGATATCGGACTTTGTTATATAGCTCATGGGATTCATACCAGTTTGCATGTCTATGTAGCTTTTCGCATTTTTTATTTATATGCTTATTTTTACATGCTCTTTTAATTTCTCTATTCAACCTTGCTAATTCGTTTTTGTTACTGTCGTTTTGATATATGAGAGATTCCTTTGCTATTCGAAAAGTTGCAGCGTGCTGTCTGTCATCCAGTGCTTTCTCTTGTTAATCTTTTTGTCGGTTGTGGTTATTTCTACAGAGGTTTTTATGACATTTCCGAAACCTTTCCACATTTCTTCTGGGTTGTCTTGTATGTTCAAAATACTAGTTTCCTTTAATACATCTCTAAATGTTTTCAGATTTGAAATCTCCAGCCTGTTTTGATTTTGGTGCGGCATTGTTCTTTTTAGCTTCATCTTGAACCAAACCCATAACAATTTATGATCGGATCCACATTCAGCTCTTGGTCTAGTTTTTATGTTTGTAAAACATGTCTTCCATCTGTTTCTAATCAATATATAGTCGTTTTAATTCTTTTATTTTCTATTTGGGCTGGTAGACGTCGATAAACGACGGGTATGATATTTAAACATTGTGTTTATATCGGGCAAACCAGTCAACTGCTTCAATCCAGAATTCGTTTTATCACAAATATGACAAGAACAACATCACTGCGCTCACAAAACATGGAAATGAGAAGAAGCATACATTTGACTTCGAAAACATCAAAATTTTAAAAACCGAACAAAACAACAAGAAGATTGAGATATGCGAATCAATATAAATAAAAAGAAATACAAACGCAAGCAAATTTTCTGGGTTTAA